GGCTTTCTCGTAAAATTTGAGAGGAATTCTTACATTGAGATTTTTGAGATCAAAATTGCACTTAAGGAGAAATTTGCCACCACATTTTTCTAACATGGTGACAGGGATATGCGTCCAGCTCGCGGAAGGGTAACCATTATTAAGTCTTCGGATCCAGGTCGCTTTGAGAGCGTTGTTTATTGCATCAAAATCAGGCATTCCAAGACCTCCTTTTGCTCTCGGTCCAATCATTGTGGTTTGCTTTATCTTTGGGGTTTTCTTRCGCCATACGAATTGGGATATAACTTTATTAACATTTTGAATGAAATTAGATGTAACAGGGAGGACAGCGGTGTTATAAATAAGTTTGGAAAGGGCTAGTGCTTTTAGGATGACAATACGGAAACTACATGCAAATGACGGTACTTTGTTAACTATTAATAAAACAATTCATTTTGATCTGCAACCGGCCACATTTATTGTAACGTTGTTGCATTGTTTTTAATAGCTAGTCTAACTTACAATGTACATGTACATGTAGGTGCATTAATATGTGTACATGTATATAACTTGAACATCCTCCTTGTTTGAAGGATTTATTTTTCTCTTGAATAATTACCATCACATTATATTTTCTGCAGGCAGCCAATGCCTTTCTAGCACAGCGAATCTCCAGCATCAATGCCATGAGTGCAATCTGCGAGGCCACTGGTGCAGATGTGTCTGAAGTAGCTAGTGCAATTGGACGAGACACCAGGATAGGAAGTCATTTTCTGAGAGCTTCAGTTGGTATGATATAATTTTTGAGTTACTACATGTACATGTCCTGTACAATGTACATGCAGTGTTATGGAGGTGCAGTGGCCCCATGATTAGCATTAGATTGCCTCCCAGATCGAACAGTCAGGGGTTGATGCTGGGATCTCTTTGTTATGTTCTTGGGCAAGACACTTTACTCTCAAAGTGCCTCTCTCCACCCTGGTGTATAAATGGGTACCAGTGAACTTCATGCTGGGGGTAACCCTGCAATGGACTAGCATCCAGGAAGATGGGTGGGGGCCGGGGAAGCAGAAATACTCCTAGTCACTTCATGTCACTGAAATGCAAGATAAGCACTGGCCTGATGGGCCACTTACATGTCTTATGCAGACTTTACCTTTACCTACATGCAGTGTTCGATAGTTTTTTCGATGGTTGTATGCAATAAGCCATCGGCCACATGTAGACTTGAAAATGGGGACTAACATTTGTAAACACATCAAAGTTGAGTGATTTTTAACACATTAAAATGAAAAATTATTTCGTTCCGTCATATATAATACAAGAGTATACATGTATAGTATATAGTTAAAAACATGCTATTTCAAGTGATAATTTTTTTTTTTGTGCAAACAATAGGCTTTGGTGGAAGCTGCTTCCAGAAAGATGTCCTCAATCTTGTCTACCTTTCTGAAGCTCTGAACTTGCCTGAAGTTGCAAACTACTGGTACCAAGTTATTGCAATGAATGAGTATCAGAGACGGCGATTTGCAAGTAGAATTGTGCACTGCTTGTTTAACACCGTTACTGATAAGAAGATTGCACTGTTTGGATTTGCCTTTAAGAAGAATACAGGGGACACCAGGTATGTCATTGTTGTAATATAACAATTTTTTCTGACTTTCATATCTTGTTATGAATCCGCTACAGAAGAAGCATGTTTAGAACATGAATTGGTGAAATGATGAAATGTCATTACGGGTACTAAGAGAAAATTAATGTGGGATTCATGTGTCTGTGAAGGTTAACCCTTACAATTATTATTAAGAGCCAACCACTGTCAAGTCAGCGATGTAGGCTAACTGGACACAGTCTATTTACACCCGCTTTCAGTGTTATGTGTATAGGCGACATTTTTCAACATGCCATCTTTCGACATGCTATATAACCTGGCCTACACCAAAAATGTAAGCACAACTGAATTCTTTATGGTACATGCAAAGTCTAACATTTTCTTCAGCCATTTGAGGTCAGTAATACATGTAATAACTGGAAAAAATTCCATTTTTACAGATAACGGTCTTTCAGCCTTTTGCATAGCATGTCGAAAGGTGGCATGTCCTTTTCCCTTTTTAGTCTAGGAATACATTTTACATGTAGGTCCTAATATTGTGTTAATAGGCTGTTTCCAAGTTGCACCTTGCCCCTGTGTCAAAATGAGTATTTGTTTGATTTCAACCATTAATTTTCTATAAAAGTGGGTTGCCCCTATAGCTTCATTTTCATGCAGATCAAAATCATTTTCATGTGAAAGATTTTGCATGAGGATTTGTTTAAAACAGAGGCACAAGGGAACTTGGAAATGGCCTATTGCTTAAATACCTTGTATTAAAACATGCAACATTGCTATCTGATAGGGAGTCGGCGAGCATTTATATCTGCAAATATCTGATGGATGAAGGAGCACGCATAACAGTGTATGATCCCAAAGTTGAAAAGGATCAAATCGTTTTGTAAGCAAAATAAATGTTTTTTCTTTTGAACAAGTTAATGTCAAGGATGCAAAACTTTGATACACAATCAGTCCTTCAATAGGAATTGTGACATGCAGTCGAATCTCTCTAATACCACCAGAGGGCCGGGCCTGAGTGTCTGCAGGCATTATGGGAGCTGGCTGTATGGTATTATAGAGGAAGAGATTGTTTGTATATGAATTCTGGTCTCCCTGTAGCCAAGTACATGTAAACTGTTGGTAACATAGAGGTGTCCATATTGTGGAGGTGTCTGTAAGGAGAAGTTTGACTGTGTGTGAGAGCTATTGGTATTTATGAGCTTGCATATTCTAGGCTTCCTTAAGAAAACAGTTGTGTGCTGTTTTAGACAGAATAACTACTTAATAAAAGGACAATTTTTTTCTTTTTGCTTAACTGCTACCCTAACCTATTATCATATTGTTGTTATTTCTGTACAGGGAGCTAACACACCCATCAATTTCAGAAGATCCAGAAAGAGGTATTTTGTCATGAACCAATAAACCTTATAGAAGGTCACTAGTCTGTGCATTGCTTTCCACAAGTGCGGATAATGTGTGTGAAAATTCTTATTCATGTTTCCATATTTTTCCCCCCTAGTGGAACGTTTGATAACAATTGCTAATGATCCTTACAAGGCTGTTGAGAGTGCGCATGCGCTGGTCATCTGTACAGAGTGGGATGAATTCAAGGTTTGCATTGCGTTCTTGTTTTAGTGTCTTCCGTAGTTTTGGGTTTTCAGTTGCGTCAGAAGCTAAAATTCGGAAAGAAATTTTTCCAGTAGAAACTTGTTTCCATTTGCTGTACATTTAACGGTTCTCAAGCGATCAAAGAACGAACATGTACTGTGATCTACTGTTTGCACCTAGGGAGGAGCTCCGATATGAAAAGGTCGTGGATGCTCGTCGGAAAAAGGCTCGAGCTTTATTTGACCCCTAAAAGATACCACTTAAAACGGAATTGACTCGATTACCAGTCGCTGTTCGAGAAAGGTCCCGGGCTAGTGGACTGGACTGGAGGGAGTTGCAGAAATCGAGCCTAAAAACGGAAATAAGAGTGTTTTTTAATTATTATTTCTGCGAGTGCATCCTAAAAGATGCTTTGACAGCTGAAAATAGTCACTGTGGCGTTTTGTCAGGAACACCCTAAGTGAGAACGGAATCCTTGATTTGCACTCCTAAGCGTGCAACGAGCATCCCCTGGTGTATGCATTGCTCATGTACATTCATTTGATATGTATTTTTTTTCACAGACATATGACTACAAACGTATTTATGACAGTATGCTGAAGCCAGCGTTTGCTTTTGATGGCCGAATGATCCTGGATCACTGCCACCTGCATGAGATTGGATTCCAAGTGGAAACCATCGGCAAAGTCATTTCTTCCGGTTATATGCTGCCGCTAACTCCCCCAATAGCACCCCCTAAAGAAGAGAAATGAACTACGTACTCTACCATTCCCGAAGAAAAGTGAATATTAGTAAGCAATTATCTTTGAGGGGTTGTCTATTCAAACAAATGTTTTAAATAATATTTTCTCATAATAATTTGCATGTGAGGTATGGTAATGTTGTTACGATAGTTTTCACGTAGCATACCAAATCCATGTAGATATATTTAACATTTACAACGCAAGTTCAGTGTTTCTGTCAGTTGATAGCAATATCAATGTCGACCGAAAACGGAAAGGAAGCTGTAAGCACTTGCTATTGGCACATGCACAAGCCATGTTTCTATTTAACAAGTAGATTCCATGTTGCCGTGCGTTTGTTCAGTAATGGATCACAGATGACGTCAAAATGTGGTAAGAACAAAAAGGTGGTATACTAGGCGATAGCCGAGTGTGTCACTGATGTTCTTACCACATTTTGCCGTCTTTTGTGATCTATTACTGAACAGACGCACGGCAGCATGGAATCTATTTGTCTTATACAATAAAGGAACGAAAAAGAAATTGATCATGACGTCATCAATGTGTCGGTCCTCCAATAACCAATCAAAATGTGAGAATAATTCGATATATTACTTATGACGCGGTGGAAACACGGATTAGAGACAGCTGCTATTAGTTATTTTCTGAAGGAAACAGAAAATAAATTGTCAGTATTTCAACAGAGTAATTAGATTTTTGGAGCCTCGAAGTTCTGACTCTTCGGAGTTTCCTCGTCTGGGCTTCATGAGGAAATGTTCTGGCGTAGATTTTTTTGGGGGAGTATTTGGTGCGTATTCCTCCTTTTAAGACTTATTTATCAACATACAACATAGATAAGAAGCTTTCCAAGTTACGACATATTAACGTTTAATTTCAGTTTATTTACGTTTCCCTTATCGTCGGGAAGACTTTAATGTAACAATCAACTCAGTTGCAAGTAGCACTCTATGTGAGTTATATTTAAATACAAATGGACAGTATCTGGGGATGGACCAGTTTCTGGGCTGACTCGGTAACACCGTGTCAGGAAGCGATAGTGTTTTTAATAAATGAGTGCAGTGATGACTGGCCTGTTAGAACGATTTTCGAGCTTGAATTGTTTATCACATTGGGCGATCTATGGAGCTATTATTATTATTATTTTTTTTTTAAAAAAAGGTCCCGTTACATACTGCAAGTGCCGTTTAAAACACTTTTTGCAATGAAAAATAGGTTTTATTGATACTTCTAACGAGTTCTTAGCACGTGCGATATAAAGGAGCGCGATGAGACAGGGTAACCACAATTGTACAATTATATCAAATTAAAACAATTCTTGTTATTAAATGTTTAACCCTCCATCAGTTGTATACTTGTCTAATTTTACTCTAATTCTTGACAAGCGTTTTTAAGAATCTAAATTTCATATTAAAAAAAAGAAAAAATACAACGCTGCCTTACGAGCATGCTTATCAGTACAATTCGAAAGTGAAACTGGAAAGCTTGCGAAAAATACAACTGTCCTCAAGCGCGGGAAAATATTGAACCCGTACAAAAAGCGCGGGAAGCCGCGCGACAACTGGGAAACGCGGGAAACACGCAAGCTCGTGATTGATTGGAAAAAGCAGCATTAAAGCTGGGACTGGTGTAGATATTTCGTATACGGGAGATTTGAACAAGTGGCAGTAGAGCGAGTTGTTTCTTATACCCTTGGAAAGTTCTGCCCTCTGGTCACGCATCTGTCTAACATTTGAGAGCTTGATTGAATTGCGAGACTATTGGCGGTTTTCATGTGACGTCATCATTTTCCAAAATAAGACATTACCAATCCCTCTGAAGTTTTAGTTTAATCAGAGGTAAGGCCCTCTAATAACTTGACGTTTTGCAACGTTAAAGCCCGACAGGGTTTTCCTCATTAAGTAATAGAGCACTTTTGAATTCCCAAGCTTGTGTGTTGCGTGACATAGAAATGGCGGCCAGATCCCGGGGAGGGGGGAGCATGCCATATATGGGCTATATAGGTATGTGCCGCTGTGAAGGGTATGGTTTTCAAGC